CAAGAAGCTCACATGTGACGACAATGGCGGCCTCGCGTGTCGCGGCATCGAAGGCGAGCCAAAGCAGGGGTCCTGCAAGATTTCCGTGACGGACGTTTGGGTGTGTCCTGTCAGCCTATGCTAGGGCCGCCATGGCATTGGGAAAACGAAGCCTCAAGAGGGAAGACAGAGTGCGTCCTCGTCTAGGCTGATAGTCGGGGGAAAGCTGCACTCAAGGCATCCAGCCTGGGACACTGCGCCCAACGTTGACCCAAGTCTGCTCCCTGCTTCTCAGTCGTAGCGAATACACACTCTACCAGAACGAAGCTATGCCCGACCTCAAGTGCCCCAGTAGCATTCTCCGTGACTGGGATTAGGGTTCGTTGACAGGCAATGTTCGTATTCGCATCGGGCTTGAGGGCATGGCTCCTGGCAGAAACCGGAACACCACTGCTTGACGTGTAGGATACGATGCCGCTTGCGCCAGCGGAGGAAAGCACCAGAACTGACATTTCGTCCTCTAGGATTCCCTCATCTGGGCACCTGCCGCTTGTATGGTCAACGACCGGCAGGCCCCGGCCTGTCCCCGTTGTGCCCAATATGGCAAATCCACCAGCGACAATGTGAAGGCTGTCTAGGGGTGTGTTCGCTGTGATTTGGTGGATCCTAATATGCCAATCGGGCCAGGCATTCGCTGGGGGAATCAAAGTCGTCTCGACCTCTACCGCCCCATCGCCCCAAGGGAGCCATGTGACGCGCGAGACCTGAACGTCAACGCCGGCGAGAACGAGCTGAGGGAACGCCACCACTCCGCACTTCCATTTCCCAGCCCAAGTTTCTCTGCCATCACGGCTCAGCAAAATCGTGCTGTCCGGTGCCAACTGCGCGAGCAATGGGCCAGTCGGGACGGAGAAGGCAAATGTCGATGAATAGGCCAGTTTACAGTACTTCGCCTGGTTAGCCTTCATTGGCCAAGCAACAAACTGACCAGGTGACAGCATGAAGTGATGCTTCCCTGTAGGATGGTAGCAGAGAATTTGCTCGGGTGCGGGCAATAATGCTGTGCCTGGACCGAAATCAGGGTATGGTTGCTCTTCGGCCTGCCAAAAGTCGTGATCCTCGCAGAGTCCGACTGCGATAAGGGTCTTCAGACACCAGTAAGGAGACTGCGGAGAGTTATAGTCTTCACTCATGTACATATTCCTATTCAAGTCAGCTGGTGTTGGTGGACGCAGGGTGTCACATACGGATAGAGCCATCCGATGCTGAGCGTGCCATCGGTATTGAAGATGCTGGTGGAGTGTCGTGCCCACCATCTGAGATGCCGTAGAAGGAACCCTTTAACGGCTCCAGGGTTGTCGAGAGGTGCAGGCATGTTGAAGACGTCGGCAAATGCGAGGGCCGCAAAGAAGCCGCCACAGGCGAACCGGTACGTGAGTGACCTTCCGAACGGAATGGCAGCCCCTTTTGATGGTCAGCCTACATACAACTCAAAATGACATAAGCGCGCAAGCCGTACCACCAGCGTCAAAGTAGCGCCAAAAGCCAGCACCAAAGTCCCGCGCTCGTTGACGATAGATCTCGGCTCGACTAGGGTCGATGTCTGAGCCGAAACGTACGAAAAGTAGCTGACTGAATTGAATGGCAAAGCTCCCCGAGTAGTAGTCAGCCTGGCGCCCAATGCCAATGGTATCCCGCCGCCCTGTCTCTTTGTAGGCTGCTACTTCTTTCTCGGCTTGCTCTGGCGTCTGCCAGGGCCCATCAGCAGACCATCCATCTAAGCGGTAAAATGTGTCAAGCAGTTCCAGGTCGGCTGCCATCTCCTCCTGTACATCGTCGAGTGACAATCCGCAAACTTTGACCAGCGCTAGGTTTGCAAACACACGAAACCAGCGCCAGTTGTTCATCGGCATGGGCTTGTGATGGAGCTGCCGAAGCCAGTTGGTGACATTGTGCTTTGATCGTGCATCTAGTGATCCGTATATGCGATCCGGAGCTGCAAGCAAGACGAACGCCAGAATCTCGGCTTCAACCATGCGTTGGTCAGTGTCGTGAATCACGCCCCAGTAGTCTTCGTGGTCCGGGTCGGTTCCTGTGATGAACCCATCAATCCACGGCTGCACAATCTCATCAACCAATAAGGCTTCTTTCGGATCTGACGCTCTCGCTACAAGTAGCGCACCGACCGCCCATAAGGGCCGCGCAAAGCCCTCCAACTGTGCGGCCCCTTCGTCAAAGTGTGCTGCTGTCGACACAGGCACGCACACGCGGCCTTTGCCCGAGGAGAAGCATGGTACAAGCGGTTGGAGCAATGCAATTGTGGCCTGGACGAGGTCGGCCCGCGTACGCAAGGGGTTATCGGAAAATCCAGGCAGGGGCGGCATTTTGGTTTTGATTTGCTTTGGACTTCTGGCGGTCAGGGTCACGTAATGCGTGGGAAGCAGCCACACTTGTATCTTTGGAACGAAGAGGCCACTCCAGAGACTGTGGGTCACTAGCATCGGGTTTCGGGACGATTTTGAGGCGATCGGTACAAGTCAACAAGGTCTACTCGGATCAATTTGACAGTCTTCTGTCGGAACGGGAGCGGGCAGAATGAGCTGTACCGGATGAAAGGTTTCAACTCCAGGCAGAGTCGAGCCTCAATCACGAACCCTGACTAGGTTGCAATCCCGTAGTTACTGTTTCCCAGAGCAAGTATGACCAAATCCCCTCTCTCCATGACCCTCCATGTATGCGACATGAGTGTCACAATAGCACTTTACGCCATGTGCTTCACATCCGTCGACATCTCAGCCTTCAGGTTGTCTTCGTCTAGGGCAGCCTCGGCCGCCCTCTTCTGCCGCCTCTCCCAGCGCCCGTGCACCAAGTAGCCGATTGTCAGCAAAGTCCACGACCCAAGAATGAAGAAAAAATTCACGATGTAGCCCTTCTTCCAACGAGGCGCCTCAACCACGGGGAAGGCGACAAGTGGGTAGAAGGAGTTGACGGCGAAGCCCAAAGTCTGGCTGCGTTAGCACTGTAACATGCCAATCTCATGCATGAGAGAGACTTACAATCATGCTGCCGTTGAAGAAGGCACGCGCCTCGGCCGAGTCCTTCAGCCACCAGTTGACGGATGGCACAAGAATCGGTGTAACGGCGGCAGTCATGCCAAACAGGTAAAAGCAGACAAACTTGAGGTCGTGAGGGATAAACCACACCATCATACAAACGTTGGCAAACATAACCATGGTCATTACAATGTTGAAGATGATCCAAGTTGGATATACCATGCACAGCGATGTGGCCAGAATTGTGCCGACGACTGACACGCCCTGCGCACCTGTGGGAATTGTGTTGATCTGGGGAATCGTGTAGGTTCCATGTGTGTCGGCGAGATCCTTGAGCCAAATTGCCATTTGACCGTGAGGATAGGCACCCGAAAGGAAGAGCACATAGGCCAGAACGCCGATGTACCAGTGCCAGCGGCAGAAAATGCGCCTCAGCAAGGCCTTTGTGATCTTCTTAGGCGCCTCAACGCCAGCCTCGCGCATGCGGAGCTGGCCAAGCTCGTGCTCCTTCTCAGTCATCCACCAGATTCTACCGCTCTGCGGCATGCCAGGGAAGATGAAGAAGCCGAGAATCGAAAGGGGCAGCGAGATGGAACCATCAATGATGAAAAGCCAGCGCCAACCAGACATGCCGTGCACGCCGTTGAGGTTGGTGTAGGCGGCAGCTTGCAGATAGCCGCCAAACATGACTCCAATATTGTTGGATCTGCCTTGTCAGCTTCGGCTTGAGATGGTGCCAGGGGCGGTGTTACTCACACATACCACAAGCCGGCGCGCTTGAATAGCTCTTCCGGCTTGTACCACGAGGACAAAATGAACAGGCAGCCCGATGCCACAGGTGTCTCCAGAATTCCCAGCAAGAAGCGTGTGCCGAAAATCTGCGGTGCGCTCTTGAGCTGGGACTGGGCGAAAGTGAGAATGCTCCACGCAACCTCGCAACTCGGCAGAAACCAACGAGTAACTTTGGGTCTTGAGAAGAACAACATGGCGGGGATCTGGCAGATAACATAGCCGAGATTGTAGAACATGGGAAACATGGAGTATCTGTCAAGGGTCAGTCGCTGAGCTTCGAGGCGCAAAATTATCGTCCAAAACGTACTCATTTCCGTACAACCCAAGCTCCTCCTTCATACCCGAGACATAAGCGCTGTTGATGTTGGACTGATCGAGCCACTTGAGGAAGAAGGCGATGCAGGTAAATGTTAGAAGGAAAGCATCGAGCTTGCGCAAAAACTTTCTCTCCTCCTTGGGGTAATGAGACGGATACCAGTCAAACATGTACATCCACGCGATCCACAGGGACCGCTTGGGCGCTTCCTTGACCTGGCGCTCCATCTGGAGCTGCTGCCCGGCTTCTTCTGCAACAGCCGACGCAGCGACTGCCGGGCCGATGATGTCCTTGACAACTGGCTGCTCGGCTTTGGCTTCCTCGTGTTCCGCCTGGGGCGTATTTGCGTCCACGCCATGTGCTGATGTTGTCGCGGTCATGATAGAGGTGCGGCGAGCTTGCTTCAGACAGGATCAGAGTTGCTGTTGCTGGGCTCTTCCAGTCGCTTTATCTTTCAAGTGCCCCTTCACAGCATCTCACTCTGCCATCCCAACCCCCGACCCCGACGCTTGATTCTTCCACTGGTGCGGCAAGCCAACCGGGCATCGGGGCAATGGGGGCCGGGAACCTTAAACAGGCGCAGATCACCAAGCCCCCAGGCCCCCTGAACACGGCATTCGCACAACCACCCCGCACTCTGTTCTTGCTCTGACCCGTCTTCCCCGGATCGACGACGCCCTCGTACGAGAGAGCTGTCCAGCGGGGTCAATGCTACCTTCCCCCGCTCAACGCCAGGTCCTACGCACAATGAGATCATTGCATCTGGGTCTGCCGAGACTGAAAAGACCATAACCGCCCCTCGCCCCTCGCTTGATTGCCCGGCCGCAGATTTTCGCGACTGCCCGCTACCTCCAGCAGACATGGTGGCCGTCGTCCGTGCATACAATCAGCCCGGCACCCGAAAGAACGACACGATGGACCTCCAGACAACGCCGGCAGAGACTGCAGGTATTGTAGGCCCCGAGGCTGACGTGCCGTCCTGCCAGGGGTGTCGTAGGCGAAAACTCAAGTGCTCCCGCGAGCAGCCGACCTGCGCACACTGTAGCCGTCTCGGTAATGTTTTCGGGGCTAGACATGCAGTGCTTCACTGACTTCAGTAGAGTCCCCTTGCATCTACGATCTCAAGAGGAACAAGCCTGGGATTAAGCCTGGGGCTGTTGGAAGTCTCAGTCGACGACTTGGTACGTAATAAGCGCCATCACTGGATTACGGATGCAGCAGCTGAGACGGTAGCAGAGGTCTTGGAAAACACTCTCTTGAAGCAAACAGAACGCGGTGCATGCGGCTGCGCACAGGGTGACCGCCATTCTGCTGAACCCACTGGCGAGGCCCCCAATGTTCTCGGAGTGCTGTCCCTCTTGGCTCAGGAGCTGCACAAACTCAATGCGCAGACGCGGCCGCCGCCACCTATCGCCGAGGCACTCGTGCCGTCGCCCTCGGTCTCTCAAGGGTCCAGCCGGATCGCGGTGGATGGCCACGCTTTTTCAGCCGAGTCACCGGGGCGGCCTCGAAAGCGGCGCAGAGTCGACAGCTGCGGCAATCCGACCATTGAGCTCACTTTTGCCCTCGAAGATCTAGAAAACATCTGCACAAACCTGCCGCCCCCGGCCCTGCTCGAAGATGTAATAAACGCCTACTTTGGCCTTATCCAGCCCTGGATACCCATGATTCATGAGACCCAGTTTCGCGCACGCATTCATGATCCCGGACAACTCCCTGGCCTGGTCGTGTTGCTCCATGCCATGGTCGTCGCAGCCCTGCGATTCGTCGACAGTGCGGGCATCGGCCTCCCCCAAGCCGAGCTGAAGACTCGCGCGACTAGATCTCGGAATATTGTCATGCTGACTGCAATGGATCATCTCTCTGTGGAAAACCTGCAGGCTCTTCTTATTGTAGCCTTCAATGATGTGTGTTACCAATCCGTAAGAGATCTCCAGGCGCTCAGCTGATCACACATAGATTGGACATGGTGACTCGGCTAAGGCATGGTCAGTCATTGGGTCACTGACAAGGACGATCGAGTACGTGCAGCTCAGTGTTGAGTCTGACCTCGACGGCAAGGAGCCTCTGTTGAAGCCCTTGACAACCATACCCGCCCCCGACAACTGGACAGAAGAGGAGCAGCGAAGACGTGTATTTTGGAATGTGTTTTGCCTCGACAGGTGAGTCATGCTTTTGGGCGCAATTTGACGAAGCTGATGGGGTTAGATTCTGTTCTGTAACAACTGGGTAGGGTGCTTCCAAGAGAAACTGATAGCACAGACTTACAACGCCAGATGGAATACGAGTCTGACATCAGACGATGTGCAACGCCGGCTCCCGGCGGACGGAGGACTGTGGCATAAAGAAGAGCCGGTCACGACGCCTTACTTTGGCATATGGGATCGATCGGCTGCCAGAATCGGCAAGTCGATCGCTTTTCTACCCGGTCATAGCACGGCACCCGCTTCAGAGGCGCCTTTGACAACCTCAAACACCGGCGCAAGCAGCGGCCCTAATACTGTAGATATGACAACAGTGGGAGCATTTGCCTATTGTATCGAGGCAACAGAGTCTCTCAGCAGGGTGACGACGTATTTTCTTCAGCAGAAAATCGACTTTCAGGATCGACAGGAAGTCAGCAGCTGGCTCACAAGATTCAAGGAGCTCGATCTGCGTCTCGTCCAGTTAGTTGCCCGCCCTTGTACTTGTCCTTGTGCTGATGGATATGGCACAGCTGGAAGATGTTTCTACCCCAGAAATGGAAAGATTCCAACATATCACGCCAGCCTGCCCTCATTAACATGGACCCAAACCTCACGCTCGCGCACGTCACACATAACACATCAATGATCCTGCTACACCAGAGGATCGCCTACCCTGACAATCGGTGGTCAAACATTGTGAAGCTTCCCAGCTTCTGCAGCGCTGAAACGTGCCAGGTTGCCGCGTCAGAGACAGCGACCATCACTCAAAAGTACCTACGCTACACACCGCAGAACAGCCCCGTCACCAGCCAGTTTGCGTTTTGTGTTTTTGTCAGCGCTCGTGTCCTACTCGGTAAGTCTCTCGTCCCTCTTTGTCCCACCAAAGCTAAGTGTTTAGTCCATTGGCGGCATTATAATGCCGACTTGAGCCCGGAATTCTGGGTTTTGGTGCAGAATCTGGAGGAAATGGCCCGGCGCTGGATGGGCCACTTGCGGGAACAGCCTTTACCTTGTCTAGCTGGCAAGTATGCGCTCCAACTGAGAGACCTTCACGCCAGATGCCAAACGAACCCCGACACAACCTTTGACGTTCTGGGCTATTCAGATGGCACACTGGGGCGGACACCTGGGACAACAACCGGGACGAATCCAGCCTTGAGCACGCAAGTGGCACAGGACGTTTCGCCGGCGTATAACTCACCTTTACACGATGAATCTCTGCAGCCGTCCGAGCAAGAAGTTAGCTTCGCGATGCCACGATTTCAAGACCTGGTTGCCGTCGGATCTGCCGCAACTCCGAAACTGCCGGGGCCCTCCGGCCTCACGCCCCAAGGATCAGAGGGCCAGCCTGATGAGCTGTCCGCGATTTCTCACATGTTGATGGACCAACGTTTTCTGGACATGGATCGCGTTATTAGCTTTGATGACATGATGTTTACGGCCCAAACAGCCAACCCGCGCCAGGCTGCCTTGGCATGGGGCGCGATAAACCCTCAGATGTAAAGGGCGTCTATTCGTCCATGACGACAACTGTACGGATATGATACCGCGCCTAGACTAAACCCATCTTCAAGAGCCTGTTTCCGAATTCGATTAGATAGTAATCCCCATAAACCAGTCCGTGGTCCCAGTAACGTTTATGGTCCTTCGCGTTGTGATTCGCCGTGGCATTTTTGAGGACGGCATCGAACCGCTTACCCGGCGCAACGTCAGCCACAGCAATGGCCTGCCCGTCATAGTTCAGCCGTACGAGCTCAGGAGCTAGCGAAAAGGCCAACGTATCCTCGACTATTGTAACGGCCATGTCAAGGAATCTCTTGCTCTCCACTACACTGCCCACGGAAGCCAGTGCCTGTGACAGTACAAGCATACCGTTGGCGGCAATGACGCCAGCAGAAGAGTCCCGCAAAGGATTCTTCTCGTTCTCTATCGGCGCGTCAAAGTCCCAGAGAGGAACGTAACGCCCCTTCGCTCCGCCACCGGGAACCGGCACCTCGACGAGCGCTGAAGAAGTCTCGAGCCTGAGGATGAAGTACTCGGCTAGGCCTACGGCGACGTGCAAGAAGTCCGGATTCTTCGTCCACATGAAGGACTGTGCGTAGCCCAGCACAGCCCATGCTTGTCCCCTGGCCCATGTAGACGTCGCGTGAAAGCCCTGGCCCGTTCGTCTCTCTTTCAGGTTGCCAGTCTTGGGGTCAAAGTTGACGACGTGAACAGTACTGAAAAGCTCCTTCCCTTCTGCTCCCTTCTCGGGTCGCAAGTTCGTTGCGATGAGAGTCTTGGCGTGCCTCGTGGCAGCGTGCCAGAGTCCGACATCACCAGTGTGTGATGCAACATAATATAGGAGGTCAAGATTGCACATGGAGTCGATGATGACGAGGAAGTCGTCTGTCTGACTCGTGATGTTGACCCCGTGCTGGGCCAGAACGTCCCACGAGCGGATGGCGCCGACAGTATTGCTGTATCGCGAGTACAGCGAGTGAGCCGCTGTCACGATGGACTTGAAGGCCTCTTTGTCGCGAGCCACCTCCCACCGCACTCGCATCGAGGGTTGAATCATGAATGACATGTCATGGGTATCGGTACGCAAGGCCATGGCGTGAATGGGCTCCGCCCACGCTGCACCGAGCGTCCAGAGCTCGTCCAGCAGACGCTCCTTCTCATGGGAACCAGGGAGCGCCTGTGGGTACTTCGTCAGGCGCTCAGCTATCGAGTAGACGCTCCCAGGGAAGAAGCCGCAGGTCCAGAAGTTGGCCTCCCGAAGAATGTACTTGCCAGCATCAGCGCCGGTCTGTGGCACATATTCAGGATATGCGGCAGGGGGGTCCTGTTCAGGTCAGAACGGGATACCATTACTTCGTTGTATCTCTCACATTATTGACCAGGCCCTCACGAGCTGTTCGCAGAATCTTGGCTGTGATGTTCTCATCATAGAGGGCTCGAAGACGGCTGGCCAGACTTCCCATCTTTTCTTTGCCATCGTGCAGAGGGTGGTCGCTATTGGATGTGCTCGTCTCGCTTTCAGTGTGAAGTTCCATCGTGCTGTCAGACTCGGCGTAGACGGCGTGGACGGCTGGGGCCGGTAGCGTGGCGGTGGCAATGGTGGCTGGACTCATGGTCAATCTTCCCTCCCGGCACAATGTTCAGAATGGTCAAATAGGCGCACTGGTGCTGTGGTCCTGGCTGACTACACAGCTTATATGCTCTCGGCATGGACGGCGATGCCATTCTCGGTGCTGCGCGGTCACTTTTGCGAGGGCAAAACGTAAGCAGATCACGGGCGATTGACACTCCGCGGCTCTCCCGGTGATCAAACAGGTGATTCGGGGCTCGGGCGATTAGGGAAGCCAGTTTTCACGCGGTTGTTGGCGTGGACGGCTTCGGCCGGCCGGCCGGGTCTTCGACCGCCCACCCGATGCACAGCGCCGTTCCAGACTGGGTCACCCCGTGCCGGTCCTGCTTGTCGCATTGGCCGTTGAGCCGTTGAATCCATGGTCTTCCGTTCATCTCTTCACCGGATTTCACGTCCCTAATCCCAGATAAAATTTGATATACCTATACACTTGGTTTCGTCTCTGTTGATGTTGCATACCTTTTGTTAGGATTCCTATTGCCCCTTGCAAGATCGGACTTTTACTGCAACTCGACGTGCCCTTGCTCACTGCTACATTTCTTATAATTTTCCAAGGTTTGGGAATCGGGAGCTGCTGGGTGTTGACCACTGGAGAACCTCAAATCGGTAAAATGTATGACAGGAAAGTAGCACAAGTGAAAATGTCACAAGGTGGCGATCAAAGAGTACTACCACAACCAATGTGTACATCAGGAGCCTATGACTCTCCCATTCCTCAGGCATTTGAAGGCGCATTGTTGCTGAGCTTTTGTCTAATTGATAACGAGAATGCATCATCTTCTCCAGAGCGCAAATCTGCAGCCTCCAGCTGCTTGAGTGTTGACTCGGGCTCCTCCACGCTGGCTAACAGTTGGCAGTCCCTCGCAACGGGGTACGAGTACGCTCTTCTTTCCCATCGTCGATAATCAGAGGCATTACCGCACACGACCGAAAGCGTTGGGCTTCGCCGGCGCATTGTCGAGAATGGCATGAATCTCCTCGATGATTTCCGGAGTGATCTTTTCCGCTAGTTTGACGGCCTTGACATTGTCGTTGATCTGCTCAACCTTTGTCGCGCCCAAGATGATGGTGCTCACGTTAGGGTTCTTGAGACACCATGCCAGCGACAGCTGTGCCACGTTTCCGCCCAAGCGCTCGGCAATCTTTGTGAGCTTTCTGACCTTCTCGATCTTGGCTTTGCCCTCGTCGCTTTGCAGGCCCTTGATGGTGTCGGAAAAGAAGTCCTTGTTGGTGGCGAGGCGCGAGTCTTCAGGAATGCCATCATTGTACTTGCCAGTCAGAAGCCCGGAAGCCAGAGGCGACCAGATGGTTGTGCCGTACTGGAACTTCTCGAAGAGCGGCGCATACTCCACCTCAAATCGCTCGCGGTGGAACGCGTTGTACTGGGGCTGCTCAACGACGGGAGCGATAAGGTTGTACCTCTCGGCGATTTGTGTGGCCTCGGTGATCTGACTGGCACTCCATTCAGAGGTTCCCCAGTAGTAGGCAAGGTTGAGATTGCGGATAACCTGAGTAAATCCCTCAACAATCTCCTTCATGGGCGTCGCATAATCAGGGCGGTGGGCGAAGACGACGTCGACATATGGCTGGTCAAGACGCTGGAGTGAGCTCTTGAGGCCCTCGACGATGTGCTTCCAGTTCAGGCCGCGAGTGTTCGGTTCCTTGCGTCCGGTGCCGAAGAAGACCTTGGTGGTGAGGACGTATTCGTCCCGGGGCCAATCAAGCTCCTTCAGAGCCTTTCCCATCTCCAGCTCGCATTCTCCATTGGCGTAGATTTCGGCCGTATCAAATGTGTTGATGCCATGGTCCCAGGCAGCCTGCATGCACTCCTTCACAATGCTGCCCTTTTGCGTCCCGCCGTAGGTCAACCATCCTCCAAGGGACAGCACGCTGACCTTGAGACCTGTAGGGCCGAGGTGGCGGAACTGCATGTCCTTGGGGTCGTATGCGGATCGAACGACAGGCATTTTGGCTGTTTGCTGTTGTAGTGGCGGTGGGAAATGATGTGTAGACTACAGAGTGCGACACGCCCTGTTCAGCAAAGCGAGCCCGGCCAGCCTTTTATTCATCTACTTCTCCTCTCGATGTCATGACCACGACGCCCATCGACCGACTGAGGGTATCCACTAGTACCCTGGTGGCAGGAAGCTTGACCTCATTGAACTCGCTGGCTGCCCCTCCTGGTCATCGTCATTGGATTGATCTGTATTATAAATCCATGTGTGGGGATGTTTAGCGTGGCCACGGAGGGCTCGGTTCGTTAAGTCCGGCGTCATCTCGCTCTTGTCGGCGATCGATTGAAAAGTCCAATGGGGTGATGTCTCCAAGTCAAACCAAAGGCACTACTTGATCCGAGTTCGGAATTTCAATTGACATCCAGGTTCCATGCACGTGCCGCAGACCAAATAGACACCGCGCCAGCTGCTCTTGTGCCGTCGTGTTGTGAAGGTCTAGACGCACCAAAGTAAGCGGCAACCTAGGTCCTCAAGACGTTAACATACACTGCGATGGTGTTACGATGGGTTCACCAGGCACGTAGAACGTCAAACCAATGAATGTTCCAGGCTGCTAGTTGTATCAAAGTCACTCTGTGCAACACAGTCCATGCCGTCGTCGAATTGCCACCTCGAAGTAGGCTTGGATTTGGCTGATTTTTTGGTTCATGAGCGGGCAGTCTGGTCGGCGTTGAAGTACAGTCTCTGTCTGACATGTGCCCATCATACTGACGGTCGCAGACCCCGTTCCACCAACGTGCGAGGCGTTGAGACATGGCGACGACACGCATCAAACGGGGATGGAATTCATGATGCATGCCTATGATGACCGTACCATGGCGCTATGTTTGAGATGCGATGCAAAAATAATGTCAAGGGTATCGATCTGTGGGATTAAACAAATTTGACGCCGAACACCCGCTCCCTCTGGCAAAATAGCATCTGAAAATCCGTAGGACAAAGCCTGAGCCGTGGCAAATTAGTGCTTCCAAAACTTCCACTTGAGCCCCTTCTGGCTGTCCTCGCCCCGAGCAAGATAGCGCTCCAGAACCTTCCAACCCTCGTCGGGCAGGGTTTCGATACAGTCGTTGAGGTGATCTATGCATGCTCGAGAAGCTGTCACAGGTTAGTATGGCGTCCGACAACATCGGAGCATGAAAACTGAGGCCCACGTACGGATCATATCAACAGCACCGTCCGACTCGGCAGCAATGAGCATGCGTGTGGACTTGTAGCAGTGATAGCGCTGCTGAAGTTCCAGCATGGCCTCCCACAGCCCTCGTATGTCGATGGATTCGTCCGAAGAACAACGACGGGCATGGAGCACCGACGGTCGGCGGATGTGTAGCGACGTCTGCGCGTGTTCCGCTGCGGCGTCGAGTGTGGCCGGCGTGGGTACATGATCGAAGTGGACGGCCGACGTGGTCTCGATGATGTGCTTCTCCGAGCAAGGGGTGATGAGATCCTCGGGCTCACTGTCACTGGTGTCGTACCATGACTTGGGTGAGATGCTCAGACGACTGAGGCGGGCTTGCTGGCGATGGGCCATGGAAGGCATCTTCTATTGTGGCGAACGATCCGAAATTCTTCCGTTCGGCTTTGGGGATGCAGAAGTGAGGAGCTGGATCACGTCGGGGGCGGAGGGTCAAACGACACCATATATGTTGGTTGGCACTGGGGCCGGGTAAAACAGACTTTTGGCCGACGGTCTAGGTTCATCCCTCCGAGGGTGCGCCAGCAATGAATGCTGCAGAACAGGGTGATCCTTACTGATGGGGCTCGGTGTGTCAGTGCTGCTCAAGCGAAGGCTTATTGGTGGCGGCGTACTGACGTGTCGCGACCATGCTGTCAGGAAGCCCTTGGAGGGCATGACGAGAAAAAGCAAGACCAGAACGGGCGTCATGGCGCAGCGAAAGTGGGAGGGCCCATGCTCGGGTGGCATGAATGCCGGCAGATGGAGTGCGTACGGCGGCAGGGCGGGAACCGGGAGGACGCGATAGGCCGGGGGTCTGGTAAGTGGTGGCGCTTGGGTCAGAGGATCACTGGCGGCGGGCGTGACATCAAGGTAGGGTGCAGCGAGTGAGACATCAATACCAGTGTCGCTAGAGGTGAGAAACGGATGCTTCGGAAGGTGAGAACACCGGTCGTCAGACGCCCGGGCTGGAAGGTGGACGTTATGGGAAGACCGGAGACTGTAGAGTCCATCTACCTTCATCCTGCGGCATTACAAGAAGGTGATGCTCGAATGCAAATATCTCGGCCAAGACGCGTCCTCGCCGAAGCCACGGCGCACAGCTGGGCACCCTTCGTTGAGATGCTTGCGAAGATCGTCCTCGTCAGCTTGCGCAAGACGAATGAGGCGTGGTTAGTGTGGCCCCGATTTTCTGCATCACGGTGGAGAGTGTGGGTAGCCATGAGTTCTAGATGATAATTAAATTTGAAAAGCCTCGATGTTTGATTTCTTTTCTCCCTTGCTCTGCTAAAGTTGGGTCTTTCTCAAGTATTTTTCCCATAGGGCTGTCGGACCGGGCTTGGGAAAGCAGCATGGATGTTCTTCAAGCTACTAACTAAGAATACCGAAGCCTAAGACCCGAGGCAGCTCATGTATAGCCACAAATGCCTGATGCCGCCAGCTTTCAAGCATCGGAGATGATCTCGCCTGTTTCTTCGCTTCACGTTACAGGCTGGTATTTGCCCAACGACACTGGACAATGTGAGGGGTGGAGCGGCCTGGATTTTAAACTTGTCTCAGGGGTACGACGACTGCCGTATGTAGCATAATCACGACCGTTTGTGTTTTATAAGTGGACTGTCGATGCCATGCGTGCACGAGACAGAAGACTTGGAAATTTCATGCCCAACGCAGGGTAGGCTGAGTCGGGCATTCGTGATTTAAAGCCTTCCCAAGCATCGCGTGCTGGATCATGCACATGGTGTTTCTGTCGTCACGACACGGCAGGCATTGTTTCGCCGGTCATTGGCAGTCAACAAAGTGACGACCTTTGGCTCAAGACAGCTGTCAGGGAGCCGGTCCAGTTTATGGTGCCTTATTAGGAACATGATGTGTCCTTGGTGCGGGGCGAGTGCATTTTCTTGATCGCTACCTACTCCAGCGCGCTCCTGTAAAGCTATGCGCGAAGCATCAACAGTAGCTGCAGCAGGAGAAGATCTTACTTTCCCACATTTTGCGCTAATTTTGTCCTTTTGAGCGACCAACCGGAGTGATACGCTGAACGCCTGGTCGATGGCAGTAAACAAAGCGGTTGGGCAACAGCTGGAATGCTCTCTGAGGCCCACATTCATGACGAGTTAGGGTATCCTCCAGACAGCATGCAGCGATGTCTGCTGTGGCTATGCTTGTGAGAGCTTGTGCGGGCGCCGCGTTCTGAGGCGGATGCGCTGCTCTGCCACGCACTTCGCCCCAGCATTCGTTCAGGGTGACGCCATCACCCTTGAGTTTGTCCCGCATCGACTTGGGGCTCATTGGAGACTCACTAATAAGCACTTCGCCAACCTCATTGACGCTGTGGAAAAGGCTTACCTCCAATGTGTTCTCAATCGACAAAGGTTACGAATCTACCCGCCATCTCTTCATGGTTGGTTGCGCCTGGCCCGCGCTACGGCACCTGTGGCATTGTACATCGTTGCTGAATGGCTTGCGGAGCATTTCCTCGTTGGCGAGGTTTCATGCGCATCTCAACGCCGGGAATGCTGGCATGCTACTGCAGACTTTTCAAAACACGAGCCATGCATCAGACAAGCTCGATGGCCATGAAGGGCCGGCGCGACGAGACTTTACCGAAAGGCAGGCTACCTTCCTTTGTACGCCCACCAAGCTCGAGCGTCGTGGATAACCTTGCCTTCCCGTTGATAGCCCTACCCACGCTTCTTTGATTGAAACCCCTTTTTTTGCAGGCGGTAATGCTAGCTACGTTTACCGTTGCCGACCAGGATCATCATGTTGAGGACGCTGTCTTGTGTCTCACGCTTAACGGTCGCCGGTTCGCCAGATGTCATGTCTCGAAGCTGTCACAAGCTGCCGCGCTCAGGCTCGCGGAAGGCGTTGAATCTCGGTCAGTTGGACGAATGGCTAAACAGAAAGACCACCAGGAGAAGATCAGTCTTGCTACAACCTCCTCTACAAGGTTGGCAAGAGAGTAGAGCCAAGCCCTGCCTCCACGAACCTGGACTCGTCTAATGAAAAAAGGAAAAAAAAAACTCATCAGTCTTAGAAACGAAGGCAATGAGAAGAAGAGGAGACGTGACAGATGTGGATCTTCCCCCTTAGCAAGATGGTCTTGACGATGAGAGACGCGGGTGAATGACGGCAGATGAGGCCAACATCCAGACTTTTGGAAGTCGCCGCCCATCAGCAATCTGCAGCCGAGCATCAATGGGCAGGAGGAGGATGCAGTCCACCGCTCTACAAGGCCCCCTCTCACTTCCAACCAACCAACCAACCAACCTACCAACCCCCCCCCCCCCCCCCAAAAAAAAAGAAGAAAAAAAGAAGAAGAAGAAGAAGGCCACTCGGGTGGCTTGAGGGATCCCCCCCATATCTACTCACGAGACCTCACGATACAGAGAGATCATAATCACCATATATGCCACTATGAACGCAGCCCCTCATGGGTTTCAAACTGTAGCTGTACAGCCAGTTTAAAGTCATCATGAACAGATACGGGCCCATGAGCAGCATTGCCACAATCTTGGTTCTGCTTGTGTTCAAGACCTATCACTATTGATAAGGGAAGATTTACCACGGGTGTCGTGTGGTGGCCAATGATGGATGCGCAAACGTCGTTTATGCACAGGCAACACAGCCGTCACTGGACAATGCCAGAACAGTTGAATGAACATAGTGAGGAGGTCTTCTGCAGGTGACATTCGCAGTCAACTATAATGATCCGGAGTACATCTAAAATCTGGGCCCTCCGCAGCTATTCCATATACCCTCCCGTTGTCTCAAGACCTCAACTAGCCCTTGAGCCCTCTGTTCCTTGGCCCTGCAGGTGCCTTCTAACAGGCGATTATGTATGCCGTCGAAGCAAGTTGGGAATTCGCGTGGGTACGTTGATGGGACATGCGGAACAAAAAAGCCGTGCAAGTCGCATCGATGGGAACATACCACAATGCTGGGCCGATGTCATCATCTACACCCACGACGTGGTGCGGCCCTGCCTACACTGTGGACACAGTCGCGCCCAATCACGAATGCCACGAATTGACGTCATAGGGCTGAGCGGCCGGATCCCGCCATGCACATGTCCCACTTGCTTGCACTTTGTCGCATGGCAGTCTGCTGTCACCTCGCCCTTCGTGCAGCCGCTGATCCTCCTTCAGGCCAGCCGGCAAAGGACAACTCCGAAGGGCAATCGTGATGGGCAGCACGGGGGCGAACACGACCCTGGAGACAACTCGAGGCACAAAACTCCGCCAGAGAAGAGGAGTTTCAACATGCTCCAGCGGTCACGTCACAAAATGTTATGATCAATAGAGAAGCCCTAGCCCAAGGACGCTCTCGATTCTGGTGCTTTTTATTCATATGGTAGCGCAAGACTGCTGTAATGCTTTTGCCTGGCCCGAAAGATCAAATCGCATTTGAGAAACCGGGTTGCCTTTTGGGATGCGGGGTTTGCCAAGTGTCACCGTAAGCCTCGGCCTACCAAGCCGCTCAAGGACGTGGCGTCTTGCCCTCGTTGGCCGATGCCTTCCGAGCCTGAAGGAAGCAACACGTGTAAGCACGGCGCTACATTTCTGGCTAGCGATGGCGAATCTGGTCCGGCACCGCCTACAGCTTCCCATGGAATACTGCCTATCAGATACCCTGATATACCCGGTCTTGGATGGCATTTGAAGCGGACCATCCCGACATCAGCTTCCTCGTGCTCACCTGTTCAGCTCTCCCTCGCCGATCAGAGCGACCTCTGATTTCTGGTGTCTGAACACTTCCAAGTGCATCCGCCCCTTGATCAGCGTCCACACCCACATCACGTCAAATAGCAGAATGTCGACGAAAGAAAATACAAGGCATCCCCCAAACACCAGCGAGTGATACGTCCATGCCCTATCCTCGTTCAAATCGGCCACCTGGCAAACAATAGCCCACGGCAGCACGTACAGCAGATTGCTCGCAAGGCTCTGCCATAGATACCATCTCGGGCGCGTGGCAAGCAGCACAGTCGCAAGCTGCGTCGAAGCGGCGTAGAAGATGTAACACCAGTCTATGGAACGCCACATCATAGCCGTCACATCAGCAACTTCGTCGGAACCGCTGAGGTAGCGGGCGAAAGAGCGTGCAGCATAGAAGGTGAGGAATATACAGAAAGGGACCTCAATGACGAGCGCGACGCACAGGGAGAAGACCGCCGGGCGGAGTACGGGGCGGAGGGAGCTGAACGGGACGCGCGGGCGGAGGGTCTCTACACCGAGAGCGCGGCGGAGGTTGCCCCAGGCGTGGCTTGTGAACGTAAGGGAGGTTTGCTCGAGGGCAAGGACGGGGACCATAACGAGACCCCAGCGGATGGTGTTGAAGACGCCCCATGCTGTGGCGTACGTTGTGCCGAGGGCGACGATGGTCATGACGAGCCAGAGATAGAGAGTGTTGCGCACGGCAGATTCAGCCATGGTGATGAGGCCTGGACGGAGAAGGACGAGCAGAGCGGCCAGGGATGGGCGGGTGGACGGGGACTCGGCGTCCTCTGCGTGACGGTTCTTGCGGGAACTGCGCCAGACAAAGTAAAGCAGGCCGACGAACGCCGAAACCAGGTTGCAGGCGAGCTGTATACCAGCCTGCAGGTTCACGGTAGGCTCGTTTTTGCCAACGTGAAAAGTCGAGATGAGGAGCAGGTCAAGGATGATATTTATGGCAAACTTGGCTGAGCTGATGATCAGTGGCACATCGGGCTTATCGAGGGCCCTTGTAGCGTAAGCAACTGCCGTCTCGACGGTGCTGCTCAGCGCACTAAACCCGCTGATTCGGACGTAGGCGAGGCTAACGTCCCTAACTTCGACAGGAACGAAGCCTTTAGCGAATGCTGGCGCTGCGGAGACGAAAGCGATACTCATAATAAAACCGAGGATGGTCTGTGTCAGAATCAGTGTGTGTGAGAGCTGCAACCTCTGAGACAGGCTTCTTGACGCTTTGTCGCCGATGATGACCCAGGCGGCACGCGGAAGGCCTTCGTTGAGAATCTCGACAATGACGCCAATGTAGGTGTAGACATCGGTAGTGACGACCAGGGAGGCGTCAATGTTGGCGACCCAGAACTTGGAAAGCGTGCCATAAAGAGCCGGTAGGATGAAAGAGGCGAGGTTGAATAGAAGGGCACCGATGTAGGTGGTTCTGCGAAGCGGGGCCCTGAGACGAGGCATGGTATCGACAGGCCGAGTTGCGCGAGGCCTGCTCTTCGTGGTCCAGCCTGCGACATGCTCAGGATCTAAGTATGGCACTGTCGGCTTTTCGGGCTCTGATGACGTAAACTCTGAGGAAGTGTGCCTGCGGCTGCCGGCAGATACAATTTCAAGCGGCGGCACGTCTTCCTTTGGGAGCTCTTTTGGGAGTCGCCTGGCACCTTGCAAACAGAACAGCAACTACAGGCTGACGTACAGTCATGAACTCCTGTCTCTTCCTCTTTGTATTTTACCACTCTCTCTTTGGGGAAGAAAAGTACTTTCAGGCACATAAACTTACTTCAACAGACCCAAAAACCTAGAATAGTTCCATTTACCATGTGGAGGCGCCTCACGCAGACAGACTAGGGTCTTTTTCGGTCCCTTTGAGTAGATGACCAGATAACGGAGTGTCCAAAGTACCCCAGTCCAGACATATAGGAGCGGCTGAGAGACCAGAGACCGCTGGCTATGCTGTTGTCAGCCGAGGACCGACGACCAGATCGGGACAGAAGCGTAAGCCTTCGCATTCAATGGTTGCTGGAGACTGATTGACGGCGGCAGGCCTTATTAATTGCCAGGCTGACTTGTATCGGTTCAATCTCCCGGCGGCAGAAATGAAAACTTGGTGAGAGCGACCGCAGCTCGTCCGAAAAGCCACGTCCACGTGTGACATGCTGCGCGATCGTGAGGACGGCACGACGGGTCATCGGACGGCGCGCGGAGGCTAAGCATGTACACTTTGCCCGCACATGTGATTCTCCGCGGAAAGAGGCGGGCGGCCTGCAAAAGATCACACCTTGTTGCCCTCGTGCGCTGTATCCTATTTACAGGTGTTCCCGTGTTGGGCCTTTTTCAACAAGCACATCTTGCCCGTGTCAGAGGATCATGTATCTGGCGGACGGGGGATCAAATGGCCAACAGTGTAACACTGCCTGAATCATTTCGTACGTGCGGTGGAGGGCCACAGTCGCGCGTCATTATTCGGGCGATTGGACCCTGATCTTCCACACCCAGGGGGCGAGTGCGGCTTGGGGCCAAGACCCCAAGCAGCCCCGCCAAGCCCGCACTGAGACGTGCCTTTGACGAGTCCATCACGACATGGAAGCGCAAATTCGCCTCCCAAGGCGACTCGAGTCATCGAGAGACGCTAGGAGGCGGCGGCCCCTCGAGTGCCAGTGTCGAGGATCCCTCCTCGTGTCTGACCGCTCTTCCAGATGAGTAGCCGTCACTCTGACTAGACATGGCTGCACGGGTTACGAGCGTCTGAGCTGAGACGAGACAGGTGACCTCGACGTATTGTACCCGGCGCCGTCTCTCGCTTGAAAAGCAAAAGAACAGGTACCTGTACGAAGGTACCTAGGCAGGCACCTGGGTGGGAGGGCTCGACTCAGCACCCCGCCAGCCAAGACCGATAACCCGCCGCCTGCCCAGTGCCCAGCATCTCAGCGCCCCAGTACCCCAGCGGCCCAGCGCGCAAGGTAGGTGCCTACCGACCCCACCACAGCCTGCTTGGCCCAGTCTGCCTGCCCTGCAACCCCGGACCCGAGAAGCCCCGCAAAAAGCGCATTAAGTGCATGTTCCTCCTCATAATAAGCCTGCCTGCCTGCCCGCAGCCTCCCGCGTGCGTCCCTGCCTTGGTCGTCCGCCTTCTGCATTCAGGCTCATCCCGCACCGCACTGCTTTCTATCAGTCCAGCACATCGAAATCGCCATATCCCACCTGCCTCTTTGCATCCTACCCATGTCCCCGTGAGCCAGCGTCCATTCGATCTACCTTACCTACAACTATCCCGCATCCCCCTTATTTGTCGACGAATCTCTCGCAAACTGCTTTCTCTGTACCTCTCGACGTCCCTGGCCCCCCAGGTACGACCCTCATCGACTCGCCCGGTCTAGCCCTCGACTCCAACAAAGGACCGCCTCAGCAGTTCTCAGCTCCCCCAACACCAGACCACTCCAGACCACACACAAAACCTTGAAGTCTCCCAGCCTTCCTCTCGACCTTTCAGCCGAACCCTCGCCATACCTTCCCTTCGTTGCGGGAAACGAATCGACACGACGACCATACCGCCTGGCCTGGCCGACGAGCACAGCCTCCGTGTTGGATTACACGCGTTCCAGTCCGTCGCTCTAGACTACAAGAACGCAGCTCCATCCTCACTGCCCGCTTACGACCTCTCCCGCCCATCGCAGACGATAAAAACCACCCAATATGGCGCCTGGGTCCTCAGATCACCAGTCCTACTACCGCAGTAGCGGCCACACCGCCGCCGCAACACGACCTTTCGGCGCCGACCCCGACACGTGGATCCAAGTCACCGAGATTGATGACGACGACCTGCAGTTTGGCGGCAAGTCTTTGAGCGAGTGGTACGAGGAGGAGCGTCGCCGTCAGAGCCACGGTTGCTCGTCTGACGAAGAGGAACGTGGTCGACAGAGGGTAAGTTGCCAGTCACGCTCTATGCGCCTCGACGTGTAGTGCGACAGACGACTAAGT